CGCTGGGGTCTACTTGCACCTCCTTTCCCTGCCTTCCCAGGCACCCCTGCCTTTGCTCCACCTTCTCAGGGTGGAACTCTCTTCAGTTACACCCCTGCCTGTGCCTCCAGTCCCGGGGGGTCCCCACAAACTATGGTCACCTGGGAAACTGGGGCACCGCCCAACCCCAGGTGGCTCCTGAACTCTCTGAAGTCTTCACTAAGGAAAGAGTCACTGTGCTCCAGCACAGGAGGCCCGGGCAGGTGCAGATGCCAGGCCCCTGTTGGGCTGACACTGTTGAGCCTGGACTCCTCGCACCCCAGGAAAGGCCAGGTGGTCTGACTCCATCATCCAGACAGGTAGAAGGCCTGATCGGTGCCCACGTGAGAAACCCCACGCAAGGCAAGCCGTGGCTGCATTTACCCAGGTCTGCCACAGGCAGAGAAGATGGGACGGGACTGACCCAGGCAGGGTTCGGGCTCCCCTTCTGGTTGCTGCCCTGGAAGTGTTCGGGTGCTGACCCTAACCTGGGCAGGGAGGCGATGAGGTAAAGGAGAGACAGGGTCCACAGTACCCCTCAGATTCTGAGAGGCCACTATGCAGCTGGAATGAAGATGGCCCATCTTCCGGAAACTTCAGACACCTGCCACCCGACAGTGATCCCCGTGGGGACCTTCCTCGGAGTCAGGCTCACGGGCTCTGGGGTCTTGAACCTCCTGGCCTCCTCTGAGGTCAGAGCCTTCGTAGCCCATCCCATTCACACTTGTGAGAGCCGAACCCTCTGCCTCTCCCTGTTTGCAACTCTGATCTCCAGTGGACTGAGTTTAGTGCTGATGCTTCACCTCCATGACTTTCTGCAGCTGAACTGAGCCTTCTCAGGAGGGCCCTGCAGATGAGATGGGTTACGTTAGGGTGAGCTCCTCAGGGTGAGTGCTAATCTTGCAGGGCCCTGGCCCCTAAGAAGGCAGAGCCGCAGGGCACAGAGTGACCAGGAAGGAGGGCTGGAGTGCATGATCCAGGAGATGGGCCAAGGGCGTGGCTGTCCCCAGAGGCGGGAGAGGCAGATTCTCCCCAGCCTCCTGAGAGAAGCTGCCCTAGCACACTGTGGGGGCCTGCTGGTGGCTCAGGACTGTGTGAGTCACCTAAGCTCTGGTGCAGATGGACTCTGGGCCCCCTGAGTGACTCCCTGTTGCTCCCGGGTTGAGGGGCTGTGCATAGTGGGTCTGAGGCAGATCGACCTTGGGCCAGTCAGCAAGCCCTTGGTGAGTCGGTGCAGGCCCCTGTTGTGGGGGACTGACCAACCGTCTGGGCATGGCCTTGACCTTCCCCAGGCCAGGTCCAGCTGACCCTGAAGGCTCAGGTCACGAAGGGTGTTCAGCCCTCACCGCCTGGCTCCATGGCCCAGGCTGATGGAGGGTGACGCGGGCAGCTGCCTTCCCTGTGTTTTTTTTAACCCTTTGCCTGTGGGTGACAGGTCTCAGGACACAGGGCAGGGGTCACTCCCACTGGCCACGCCAACAGGAAGACAACGGATAGGGGCACTGTTGATTCACTGTTGGAGTTCAGTTCCCGGGACAGTGAGGAAGCAGGCCCAGAGACAAAGCAGCCACCACTGCTGGCCTAGGACATGGTGCTGAACTGAGAGGAGAGCTGGTGGCTTGTGATGCCCTGTGGTGCAGGTGCCAGGGGGCTGCTGTGTCAGGACCTGAGTGTGGGGCCAGACACCGGCCACCTGGGGAGCCAGGAGACCTGCGCCCTCCACCCCGAGGTAGCCTCAGGATATCCAGCTGGTCACCTGAGACCTGCAGTCTCAGGGCCTCCTCTCAGATGAGGACCAAGTGCTTCCTGGAGCCCTGGGGAGACATGACACAACCACCACAGTGCCCCTGGGGTCTTCCGGTGCCTGCACGTCTAGACCAACAAAGCAGCCCACCCAGCTCCACACGTGGGGAGTCTCGTCTGTCTGTGTCCAAGCTGCTCCCTGCCCTGGTTGGTGCCAGGAACATTCAGAACTGCAGGCCTCCTGGGCTGCTCCGGCCCTCCAGGTGGGCAGGGCCACTTGGGGCAGGCTGGCTGGGTTCATTCTTGATGCGTGTGCCTTGTCCCTGCCTGCCACAGCCCAGGCAAGGACCTGGGTGTAGAAACACTAGCCTGTGCTTGGGACAAGTGGGAGGTGGCACTAGACAGGAATTAATGTCGAAAGGGGTGGAAGCAGGGGCCCAGAGGAATTCACAGCAGGGGGCCATGGAACAGAGTTGGGTCTGGGAGGTTGCCCAGAAGTTTTCCAGCAGATGTTGAGGTCACTTGGCATCTGGTGCATGGGAGAGGTGGGCACACAGACAGAGCACTGCAGAGCTGAATGGAGGCCCAGCCAAAGGACTGCTGACCCACCAGGCTGAACTGAGTCCAGGCCCAAGGGCGCGGGTGTTGGCGGTGCAGAACTCAGTTATGGAGTGAGCGGCGCTGAGCACAGGAGACTAACAGGATTTGGGGTTCTCAGTTGTGGGGCGAGGACCCAGCTGAGCACAACTTCCATGCTGCTGGCTGGCTGTGAGACAGCGCCTTGGGCGACTAGTGGGGAAGGCACCTTTTTAAAGGAAGGGGCTATTTTGGCTTCTGACATGATAACCTTGGGATTCTTGTAGGGCATGCAGAGAGAGGTATCAAGAAGGCATTGGACATGCAAATAGCACCCTGGAGTAGGTCAAAGAGGAGATGTAGGACACCTGTCTGGCTCATTGTGAGTCTACAGATAGGGGAAGGCCATTACAAGTCTTTGAGGGTGTACTCGCCTCCAGACATGTATGGCAGCCTGGAGCAAGTTGCCCAAATATGAACAACCTTTAAAACTTTTGTGCTGTGTAAGAAAGAATGTGTTCTTTCACCTGGGCTAGCATTTCCCCCAGTGGCAGGAGTGTCATTCATTGTGATTCCTCACTGCATCTGAGTTGGTGCTAATGAGGTCTCTTGGGATGGGGCTGGTCACCAAAAGGACTGGCCATAGGATAAGAATGTTGGGACTTTGAGGACTGATGTCTGTCTGACTTCCGGTAGTGGAGGGGTGCTGGGAGCTGAGTTCAGCACATGGCCAGAGACTCACTGAACGTGCTGTGGAGCTGATACCTGGTCCACACTCTGGACTGCATTGCTCAGAGTTTCCTGGCTGGTGAACGGTGAGCATTCGGGTTCCACAGTGAGGACACAGGGGCTCTGCGTCTGGAACCTTCCCTGACCTTGCCCCATGCCTCTGTATTTCACAGGTACCAATTTGTACCCTTTGTGATGACTTGGTGACAGTGACTCCACTCTTCCCTGTGTCTTGTGAGTACTTCCACTGAGTTGTCCAGCTGGAGGGGGAGTGTGGGGCACGGAATTCCCAAGCAGCTGGTGAGATGTGTGAGGGGCTGAGGACTCTGAACTTCTAGCTGATGTTGCACGAGGCAGTCCTGCTGGGATACACTGTGCCCTCCACACGGGGTCTGCGGGAGCTGCAGGTGGTCATCATCAGGGTCCCATCACAGTCCGCTGGCTAAATGGGCCTGCCCGTCTAACTCCACAACGCCCTGACTTTCTGACCATGTGCAAACTGAGGAACACCATTCCACAAGCAGCCCTGGTTCCATTCTCAGACATCAAACCTGAGATCTGCTGGGTGGGCAGCCTCTGCAAAGCCCTGGTCCAGCCTCCTGCCCCTTACACTCTGATGTGCTTCCCTGGAGCCTGGTGGGGTCCAGCAGAATGCAGGCTTGTCAGCTGTGAGGCTGCAACCAAAGCTGTCTTGATGGGCTCTTAATTCTCTTCCTTGGAACACTTGTGTGGGAGGTCAGAGGTGTGCAGGCGTGGAGGGATCTACATGCTAAGGAACAGGAGCCTCCTCCCAACAACCATGAATCCCTAGATGGTGCAGCCTGGCTAGCCTTGCGACCTGAATCCTCCTGAGAGCCAAGCTGGACTTCACCCGGCTTCACTGCTCCCAGAGGCTGGGCCCTCAGAAGCAAACTTGCAGGTACAGAACACCTGTGTGAGCTCAGGAGTGGCAGGTCAGCACAGACCCGGGGTCTACTTCAGAGCCTGGCACCTATTTACCCTGTACCTTGGAGCCAGGCCTGCCCTCCAGGTCCTTGTCTGTAGAATGGTGGGAAGCAATATTCGAGAGCCAACTGAGAAGTGTGAGAACGCAGTCTTTCAGTGGGCACGTGAGCCTGGGTGCTTCCCTCCTGGGGGTGGGGGTGGGGGGGTTCACAGTAACCTTCCCCACCAGATGCACCCAACACCCACCTGTGAGGCCAAGGGTTCTTCCACTCTAAAGCAAAGAGAAGGCAGACAGCAGGAGGGTAGAGGCCTTAGGGAGCAGGCAGCTTGGCTCTTAAACTTGCCACTGTGCCTGCCTGTCTCCATACTGCACCTGGACGAGGGGCCTCAGTTTCTCCAAAAGTAATGAAAGTTAAATGGTTTTATATGGGGGTGGGAGTGGCGACAGGGAGAGAGCACCAAAGTGTGCTTGGAACTGCGCCTGGAACATATTAAGTGTTTTTTAACACTCAAAAGTGTTAAAAAACAGTGACGTCGCCAACAACAACATACCCCTTCTGCACACAAGGAGGAATGGCTAAGAAAGGTGGAGAAACTTAGCGCTGAGTCCTCTGGGTTCCAAGAGCAGAATCGGGGATTCAAACCTGGGTCACGAACCTCTCCCCTGCACCCAAGGCGCCCTGCGCCCATAGCTCCTGCGGTGGCCACCACATCTTGACCTCTCTCGCTTCCGCCGCCCGTCCCGGCTACGGGGAGGGGGCGCAGCAGCAGGACGCCGCGGTTTCGGGTCCTCGCCCCGCCCCCGCCCTGGGCGAGGCAGAGGGGGCAGGGCGGAGCGGCGCGCATGTGCACAGCTGGCGCCCCCCCACCCCCGCGCACAGCTGGGACGTGGGCCTCGGCCAGACGGGCTCAGTCGAGAGCCGGCGGTGGACGCGCCGGGCCCAGTACAGTCTGTCGGTGCGAGCGAGCCTAGGTTCGCACCGTCGGCCATGACCGCGCGCTCCGCGGAGACCGCGCGCCGCTGCCTGCTGGCTTTCGTGCTGTGCTGCGGCTTGGGGGCGCTGGCGGTGGTCGCCCAGAAGCCAGGCGCCGGCTGTCCGAGCCGCTGTCTGTGTTTCCGCACCACCGTGCGCTGCATGCATCTGCTGCTGGAGGCCGTGCCGGCCGTGGCGCCGCAGACCTCCATCCTGTGAGTGCGGCCCGGGACCCAGGGCTGATCGGGGACACGTGGGGTTGGGACCCCACGTGGGGTTTCGTGGGGCTGGTGCGGATCAAGGGGCGCGGGAAGCTTGTGGGCTCAGCGGTGCAGGGGATCCTGGGTCGGAGGACGTGGTGACTGGACGTCGGGGAACCCGGCGCAGGGCGCGCCGGGCCTTTGTCCGTCCTGGCTTGGACGCCCTGGGGCGGACCGAGCTCTAAGCGCGGGGCCTCGGGAGCCGCCTTTGTTCAGAACTTGGAATCCCCGGCTGGACCGAGAAGGGCTGGGAACTGCCAGGGAAATCCCCGCGCGCCTCCCGCGCCCTCCCCCAGGGCCCGTTCTCTCTCCTGTTCGCTCCCCTCTTCCTCCAGTCCAGTCTGGTCCCCGCTGAGTCCCACTCTCCTCCTTGAGCGTCGGGCTCCTGGCCGGTCGCCCCTCCTCTGCCCCTCTTCCTCCCTCCCCCTGCTCTTGTCTCCCCGCCCCCCCCCCCCTTCCCTCAGTGCAGTACCCCACCCCCGCGCTCGGGGAAACCTCCCATGTGTAGCTTCAGTTCCCGCGACCACAGCGACCTCAGCTAGTGTCCTCGCATTCTCCCCAGGCGCGAGTCTCCTGTCTGTTGGGGTGATCCTGGGGCCACGGGCACAGGGCTAGTCTGAGGCTTTTCCTGGTTCCGGAGACAGCCTGGCGGCCAAGGTCCCAGGAAGGCCCACCGTGTGGATGACCGAGTTCTGGGGCATCTGGGGCTGAGACGGAATGGGGTTCAGAGCGCTCTTCTCCCTAGAGTGCGTCCTTCCTTCCTTTTCCAATCTGGCCTAGCCGTGTTTACCCAAATGCTGAACTTCCCGGATACTTGGTATTCAAATAAGATACAATGTGTCATGTACTCTGCGGACCTCTCCATGGACCAGAGAAACCTGCACGAACTTCCATGTCTCCTTTTCCTAAGGAGGAATCTTCTTCCTTTTGCACAGCCTGCTTCTTAGGGACCCAGTGCCACCAGAGTTCGCTGCAGGCCTCTGTGTGTGCTGATGATACTTGGATTAGAAAAATTCAGATTCTGTAGAGGCAAGCATGCGTTTTAGGCGCCGACTTTAATTCAGCCTCCTACAGCTGCCCTCTGCATGCCAAAAATAGTTTTCACTTTTCTTGGCTGGACTGGAAGACTTTTGGCACCACTGAAGAGCCTGCAAAGGTTGTAAAAGTTTGAGTGAACTGTTCAGGAAGTGGGTGGGAGCGTTCTTACCTCGCAAACAAAGTACACCGATGGCCCACCTCTCCTGGTGGGTCATGGCTATGCAGGCAGCTTGTGCAGGGGCTGTTATGCCCACAGGAAACTGCTCCAGAGAGCTGAAAAAGACTGTCCTTCCAGAGGGGGTGATGGTCAGCCAGGACCCAGGATCTAGGAGGGTACAGTACTCCACGAAATGGACTTACGTGGGACAGGGTGAGGTTTCTCCAATGTGGATGATTGGATGAATTCTTTAGTGAGTTAGTGGGAGAAACTTGGACCCTGAAGCCATTTTTCACATGTGGTCAGAGCCTGATACTTGCTCTGTGTTTGTTCCCAAATCTTAATTGCTTTAAAAAAAAAAAAAAAAACACTATTTCAAAATGAGTTTTGTAGGAGAAAAGTGGAATTCTCTGTCCTTCTGTGCATGTGTGGCCTTCAGCAAAAATATAACCGGAAGTGTGAAGGAGCCAGGGGGACAGGCTCAAACCACTGTCCACACTTGGGAGACTTCCTGAAAGGGTACATTTGCAGAAATTTATATCATACTTACATGGAGTTTTGGGGCTTTCAGAAATGATTGAAATGGGAGCATCTGATGTCATTGATTCTGTGAGGCAAGTAGCGTAGATGTCCGGTTGATGGAATCCCTCAAGAACTGAGCGGAGTCTGGGTGAAATCAAAATGCCTTCATTCCACTACAGAAGCTGGCTACGCACAGCTCCCCGTGGCCATGACTGTGGACTCATGGACAGAGAGAGGGTAGAGCCAGGAGCCAGAACCCAGCCAGGGTTTGAGTGCCGGAGCCGGTGATGTGACAGCACTCTCCCTGGGAGAATGTGTTTACCTTGTGGCCTGAGTGCGTGAGTGGACCGGTGGTGTGGTGGGGTGGCAGGCTTTGGGAAGGACAGGAGAGGGTGGGCTGGGGAAGTGGAAGGAGGGAGGCAGCCCCTATGTGGTGTCTGGGTCGGGGCAGGCGTGGGTGGGTACCCGCTCAGCAGGGCAGGGCAGGGCACAGGCACTGGCAGAAGCAGGGCTCTGCAGCTCCTCTGCTAGCTCTCTGCACCCTCATACTTGCTGTTGCTTGCTTTCTTTTTTTAAGAACTACGTGGTAGAAGTTGGCGATGTGAAAGAGGTCAGCACCAAGACCTCACTCCCACAGTCGGTCGGGCCATCCCACCTTGGCCTTGTCCCTTACTTTGGAGACCCCACCCAGCTTCTGGAAGGGACTAAATCAGAGCCACAGGAGAATGTGACTCCTGGGCCCTCTGTGTTTCAACACGACTGTCCCACAGGTGGCTTGGGGCCTCAGAAAACAGGGGCAGAAGATACCTTGGGATTCCGGTTTGGACTGCCCCTGAGCTCCCTCTGCCTAAGAGTGTGCGGTGGCTGCAGCAGGGCCTGGCCTCAGCGTCCCGGGGTACGTGCTGGGTGCAGCTCTGCAGGCCCCTCTCTGTACTCACACTGTGGTCGACACGGTCATGCTGATAGGAGGAAAGCTGGTATCGGGAGACCAAGCGCGTGTTTTTACTCTGCCCCCTTTTTTTCTCTACTCAACTCCAGCCTTTGGGGGAGTACATTTAAATAGACGGTGCAGGGTCCTCTGGGCAGCAGGGCCTCTGCTCTCTGCCTTACTCTTTCCCCAGCTCCTTTCTCTTCCCTTCAGCCTCTATTGCTGAGGTCATAGGAATTGACTTTGCAAAGCTAGCATCCACTCGGCAACCCAGGCCACTTCAAAACCCAGCGTCTATGCCAAACCAAGTCTGTGGCAGAAACCCCAGTGCTGGCGGGGCTGAGGAGCCCAGGGAGGCAGCTTCTTTGGGAACACATGTGGTCGGCCAGGGCCCACAGGCACTCCCTCTGGGTGCCACCTGTCTGCCAGACAGCTGTCCTGCATTCCTCCGCTTTCCAACCTCCTGGTGTGGGGATCCGGCTGCATTCTCCACCCTGATTAAAAAGGCCCGGCTCAGGGTCAAGGATCCATGTTATTATGTTAACTGGTTTCTTCGCTCTGGAAGGGGTGGCTTCTCCCCATTTGTCAACACTCCTGAGGGCAGAGAAAGGGGAGACCCGGATCTTCAGAACTTCAAACCATAAACCTGGGAGGAGAAGGAGCAGAACTGCCCTGTGGTTCCAGGGCCTTCTCTGCTCTGCTCTGGCAGGATTTTATTTATTTAGTTACGTAGTCGTTCTGGGGATTGAATCCAGTGATTCGGTTGATTGAATCTACTACTGAGTCACATCACAAACCCTTTTTATTTTTTATTATTATTTTTTTTATTTTGAGATGGATTTCTCTGGCCCAGACTTGCGGATCCTCCAGCGAACTCTGAAGTAACCGAGTAGCTGCGATCGTAGGCGTGCTCCAGCTACAGCTGCTGGTTGGTTCTATGTCTGTTTGCCCACAGCTGATCAGCCCCAGAAGGGAGGGATCTGCGTTCCTACCCGAGGAGCTTGGCCTTAGGTCAGGGTGTTGCTCAGCATCCTTTGATAAAGACCAGGAGTCTGCACAGCCCTGCAGCACCCAGGGCCCATGGGAGCCCATGGGCCATCCTGCCTTATTCTACTGAGGGCTGAAGTGGAAGCTTACCCAAGGACTGTGGCTTTATTTGACCTTCAGGGTGGATTTGTATTAGGGAAGGAGGACTCATCAAGACACAGTTGATGCCTGTAGAGGTGCAGGCTCTAGTGGTGCACCTGGGCAATTTTGTCCTGCCTCTGACCCTGGAGCGTGTCCCCACAGTCCAGTGGTGAGCTTGTGCCCTGACTGCTTCCTGGTGCCTCCTGCCAGCCTTTTGCTTGCGGAGGGTGATGGTCTTCCATTTTCTTTCTTGTCTGTCTTTGGCCCCCCGAGGGTAGGTTTTGCCTCCTGGAGGTGTGGGGATGCACCGCCCTTTCCCTTGTCTGGAGAGGGTGTGGAGAGTGGGTCTCAGCATGTGGTCCGGTTCCCTAGTGAGGCCCTAGTCTTGGGGCTTACTTTGCTGTGGAAGGATTTCGAGCTGCAGTTTTGATCTTTCCCGTTGGCATAGGCCTTCCAGGGTGTTTGCCCTGGATCGAGCCCTGGGAGTCTGCTCCCACCCAGAGTCTCTTCATTTCACAGGTGTGGCTGGGATCACCAGCATGAAGTCGCGCATGAGTTCCCCTTGCTGTCACTGAGCGGAGGCAGAGTCCGCCTTGCCCTCAGGGACTGTTTCTTTCCTGTGTCAGCCTCTGAAGGTCTCTTGTGTGGTTTTTGAAGGCCAGACTTGGACATGTCCATTTCCCTCTTGGTTGCTGTGTCCACGCTGCTCATGTCCACCTTGCTCTTCGCTCCCTTCTCTGTTGGGGTCCGGTGTGCTCCTGCCTCACCAAGGTGAAGACGAGGCCAGGGGTGCCAGGTGATTCTTCCTCTCTGACGTAGGAGGCCGGAGCCACAAGCAGGGTCTCCATTTTCACAGTGTTCAGGGTGCCTTCTGACTCCTCCTGGTTTCTTTGTTGACGGGGTGACAATTGCTGAATATTTGAGGATCTTCCTGACATCTTCCTGCTGTTGCTTTCTGATCAGTTCCATCAGCAGCAGCAAGTATAAATTGTGAACTTAAATCCTTTTAAATCTATTGAGACTTGTTTCTTGGCCTGGGATATGATTCATTTTGGAAATGTCTCTTGGGCACTTAGAAGGAACGTATTCTGCTGTCGTTGTTGGAACATTCTGTGATCTCAGTTTGATCAAGTTGGTGGACAGTTCAGATCTTCTGTGCCTTCCTAACTTTATGTCTGTGTA